ATGTGGGACAAACAACATCCAAAAACCCATATTTCTATACAAACTCTCCAATAAAAACTAAGGATACCAAGCAGCATATATATAAGTTCATCATACTCTCTCATTCATGATGTAACACAAGATATGAAATGCCGTGAAGTATTAATAGTTCACTAAAATTGTAAACTCCAAGTGCACGAATGCGTTCAAGTAATAAGGTAGACTCGTGAGTCCGAGTTATCAATACCTTGAGGATTATTTCTTTTAATTATACAATAGTTGAATCAATTTTAACGATTAAATACACACAATTTGATTTTAGATGTGAAAGTAAAATGAAAATGACTTTAAAGTTCAATTAAAACAACAATCATAAAATTGATGGAAATTTTGATGAAAATGAGTTGAGATTGATGATTTCACTTAACCGTCGCTTAATTAATTTCTCAACACACAAATTAATAAATTACTTATTTATTATGTTATATCCGATTTTTCTATTTTAACTAATTACCTCTTAAGTGCAAAATTAGCCATAATCTATTGATTTAACATATTATATCTCTATGGCGATAAATGCATTGCAAATGAAAGGAACATAAAGAAAAGAAATACAAGACAATAAACGGGCTTCCTCTTTTTCTCTTTTTGCAGCTAAGCCCCAGGTAATTGAGCATATGGTCCCTCAACTTTGATCTTGTATGTTTGGTCCCCATATTTTGACTTTTATTTCAATTAGGTCTTTCATAAATTGCATTCAAGATCCTTCAACTCTTGGTACTTATGCACTTTAGTCCCCAAATTTATGTTGTTGTACGCTTTTGATCATTTTATCTTCAGTTTGCCTTATTCTTTTTCAAATTGAGATTTTCAACCTAAAAAGCAAATATTACCCAATCGTGAGAAGAATTTCATCCATCCATTTAATTAATAATAAACACATTTAAGTTTTCCGTAAATGTGTGAAAATACACTTATCAAACACAGCCAAATATAAGTTCTTGTTCATCTCGAGCAATACTATCTATTAACACGTACAAATAATGCATAATAAAGATCAAAATATTAGATAGCTTGCCAAAGTATCTAAGAGTGTAAAACTGTGTAATCAATTCACAAATATACTTCTAAATCATGCTACCAAAAAAATTAAGCTTATTTAATGTTTGATCGGTGTGTGTGCATAGTCACTTTCAATCATCACCTAGACTCGAAAAAAATTGTTAAGACTGAAAAAATTTCAAATTAGTGCCAACCTGACCTTTAGTGGTCATTTATTTTTTTCTCGTGAGGTGTAAATCTAAAAATTGTTCTCAAATCACTCTTTTCTTTTCTTACTTAATTCAGTTGTGCCTAACTCGCAATGTCAACAATCTATTCATGTGATAATTCTCCACTAGATTTGTGATTCGACATTTAAGTTTATACTAAATAAGAAAAACCCACTAGTTATTTATGCCCTAGATTCAATTGCAAATACACAATTTCTTGCAATCTTAACAATCTCATGATTGACCTCACCTCCTCATGTTTTCTTCTTGACCCATGTAGTGAGTTTTGGGTCGATATTTTCTCAATTTTTTAGATCAAAGGGTACCAGGTTTCGAAATACTCCTACGAATTTACTAACTCGAGCCAAAAATGCTGCAAAGTGGGGCATATGATTCAATAAGTGCAATACCCTTTTTAAATTAAACAAAAATATATTGGGTTTAGATCTCTAGCATATGGTCATTACTTAGTTTATACTAGTTAGAAAGTGACACTCTACAAAAATATAATAACATGCATGGAATCACACATTTCTAGATAATATCATTCACCGACTTGACTACCCTCAAACTTATCTCACAATAAGACTAAGTGATAGAGCATGTAGGTTGATAAAAAAAAAATTATTCACAAAACTCACAACTAGTTCTATCAATTCAAATATCATTTCCATCAATCAATAATTTCCACACCTAGACAACAATTGATCATGACTATCGTGTTCAAAATAGGTTACGATCTTACATGGATAAGCAATTTTTTTCTAAAAAGAGAATTAAGAACAAATAGTATAATTGTTCATGTCTTATGAATCAATAATAATTTTGAACATCAAACCATCCAAAGTCGGCAAGACTATCTAGCATGTCAAAACAAAATCGTCTCAAAACAAGCATAATAAATTTCAAAACCCCAAAACTTGAATTATATCTAGTGAAGGTGCAATGGCGTGATCATGGACTAGAAGATGCAAACTAGAGAAAAAGAAGAAGATATCAAAGATAAATATCTAGAACTCTTTGACTAAGGTAATTTCGAGGACAAAATTCTTTTAATGTGGAAGGGATGTAATATCCTGAAATCTTTGAATGTATTATATAATAAAATAATTTATATGCATTGTTGTGGTTGTTGCATGGTATAAAATAATTTGGATTTAGATTGAAATTTCAATAAAAATTAAGGACTAAGTGCAACATCTTGAAAGTTTGAGGACTCAAGTATAAATAAGAAAATAAGGATTCTTAATGAAAATAGAATTTATATGATTATCATATGAATGATTTTAGGTATTTTAACCTTGTAAAGACTTGTGGAAACTTTTTGGAAACGTCGAGACATTTTAGGCTAAAAGGGTAAAATTTGTCATTTCACACGTTCACGAATTTTGAAGTATGATTAATGAATTTTAGTTTAAAAATAATATTTTTAATAATGACAGTGAGCGCTAAAATTATTTTTGTACAATCCTCGACAGTTTGAGACAGTCCCAGTAAAGTTGGGATTCCGGATATAAAGACATGAAAAATGAAGGATAAATATATAAAGAATCAAATGGTATAAGTTTCGTAATTTTCCGACCACGAAAAGATGGTTAAAGCTAATTTTACGGTACGTTTTGCTATTTGGGATTTACGTGATTAAGGGACTATTTGGCATAATCGTTTTGCTAAGATGAGGGGTCGGGTTCCAGCAGAAACTAAGAGTCAAAAATATAATTTTTATTTGGTTTGAAATGAATATAGAGATTAATGTGGGCATTCAATAGCAGGGAGTTGGAGACTCTTCATTTACACCCATGTTTAAGGAAGTCCTTTTACACAATCCGAATTTCGAAACTATTTCATCTAATTTTATCTCAAAGTTTTATAAAGGAAAGAAAAGAAATGTAGGAAGGAAGGAAGATTTTTTAAAATCAAAGAAAACTGTTCGATTCTAAAATTTTATAGAAAAGATAATGTGAGATACTTACGTGTAAAGTGGTTATTCATCTTATTATAAATTTTTTTATAATCTTACATGATATAGTAATATTGTCTTCCGTTCGGAGATATGGTTCGGATTTGATTATTTATGAAATGTATAAAATTTATGTTCGATATAATACATTTTTTTTTTTATTTTTTGAATGTTATACAAAAGTGTATAGAGTTTTCCGTTCGATATGGGTTAGTTGATCATTATGAAATATGGTATGGATTGTGCAGTATTGTGATTAATATTATTTCGAGATTGAATTGCATGTAGCTCAGTTTGTATTTTTTGAAATAATTACCCTTTTGGGACTTTATTTACAGATTTATGTGAACCGGATGGATTAAGTGGTAATTGGTGGTGTCAATGTGTTCCAATTGATGGAAAGATTTTAGAAGTAAATTTAGTGTCTGTTTGATATGCCTTTTTTTTTTCCCCCAATGGAAAATGAAATTGAAATTTCATTTCCCACTTTCACCATGTTTGATGACACTTTTTTTCCTCAAGAATTGATTTTCTACATTTGTCATCACGTGACCCATTTTCTTGGTTTTAGTTGAATTTCAATTCCCACCTTTTAGGGGGTTTTCGATTTTCCATCCTTTTTTTTTTTTTTTTGTTGCAATAGAAACAAATTATATCCACAATTGTAAAAAAATTATCAATTTAATTAACAATTTTCATGTAAAACAAAGCTAAGAAAACACAAAAAAAATTTCCGATCTTTTTTTTTTTT